AAAGAATAAAAATCTTTTGCACCCATGAAAGCAAAGACCATTTTAAGATGGGCCCTAACCTGATGGTTTATCTGACTGGAATACCCAGCTATACAGGCTTCTCATGGTTGCTTTTTTTTTTTTTTTCCTTAAATTCTTTTATTGGTACATTTTAGGTATTCAATACGTTTACATTTATCATTGGGTGCTTGTACCTGTACATGATATATCTTGGTTCTTATTTTTTCCCCATTACCTGTGCTCCCTTCACCCCTCCACCCTTCCCTATTTACATAGATTTCATTTTCATTTTTTTCTTTTCTTATAATTTTTCCTTTCCCTTCTTTCCCCTTCCCTTCCCACTTCCCCTACGCCTTTGGACCTTTTCTTCCTATTTCAAATTATCAATTATTCATTTTAATCATTTTAATCCTTATTTACACTTTCAGTTTCTCACCCTAGAGAAACTATTTGGTATTTACACACGTGTGTCCTATTTATTTCATGTAAGAGTATGGCCTCAATATGGATCCATTTAGCTGTAAATGTCTTTAGTTTCTTGTTCTTTATGGCTGAGTAGTACTCCATTTTATTAAATGAAACACATCTTCTTTATCTGGCCACTGTTGTTTGACAGCCTCATGTAATTGTTTCCTCTAAAGGGGCAGACCATTAAAGGTATTTTACCTATCTCCAGTGGGGGTCTGCTCAGGCCAGGTTTGCATGTAGAAGAGACTAGGTGACACTCTTTGGAGCTAAGTATGAATTCCATGCAGTCAGGGAAGAAGGCCTGCCAAGGCTCCAACCTGCTGTGCTGCAGATGTCTACCTAGGACAGTTTTCCCCATTTCGAAAAGAAATAAAGGGAAAGAAGGCATCCCTGTCTATCCCTCTTGTTCTGTGCCCAATCTAAGGTGCCCCTTAGACTTTATCTCATCCAGTGCCAGTGGCAGCTGACTAGAGGTGAGGAAGTGGCCAGAGCCAGGTTACCTGTTGTTCTTACCATTCTCTAATTTTGCCTGAGGGCTGAAAGGCAGATAAATCTGGACTAAAACTGTACATTTATTTCTTGAGAGTTTCAGGATTAAACCAAGACCAGTTTTCTGTATGGCCCAGAGATAAATGAAGGTCAGCTTTACTCTGGAGGGATTCCAAGGAGGGGAGACTCACCATTCTGGAAGCTTTGTCTTGAAATCCAGCAGCCACAGAAGAGGGAAGTGCCTCGAACCAAACACTGTTGAAAAATGTGTTATTTCTCAGGGGCAGGGCAGTGGAGAAGGGACAGAAGAGTGCCTTTAAGTGTGGCACAAGAACAAAATCTTAACCATCTCAGGTGTAGAAGGACATTTAACATCAGGAGCTTTTCCAGAGTGGATCTGCAATCCTTAGCAAAACATGTTTCTAGAGACAAAAGCTATGATTGACTCCAACTGAATTAGCAAGCAGGAAAATCAAACCAATAATCAAAGAACTCAAATGGCTGCTTTTTTGCCTCTTGAGAGAGAATAAATGTGTTCTAACTATATTGTTTAGGGCTTTTTTAAAGTAAATTATTTTGAATCTATAATATCTAATTTACAACTTAAATACCCTGCAGGCTGTTGAGCATCTCCCTGATGTTGTAGAAACACTCCCAAAGCCACGTTTCACCTTTTATTAACATACAGACTGAAATGGTGTCCTGTGGCAGGCACTTAGAAGTGCTTGTTTGAGCTTCTGGAATTCGGTCTGGGAACTAGGTTCCCAGGTTAAAATATGGCTGTCTTTTTTTTTTTTTTATAAGCTAATAGAGGGGTCACGCAATCTCACTATGTCCTGTTATCCGAAGGCCACAAAAGCCTGTTATTTTTAGAATCTCCTTAACTGTTTTAGAGTCTTGGGCTGTGGAAAGGAAAGAATCAGTTTAATTCTTTTTTTCCCCAGTCTTTGGGTTCCCTTAGATATAAGACCTAAATATTTTACCTCAAGGCCGCAAAGCTGTGCCTTAGATCTAGAAACATCATAACCCCTGTCTGTTAGAAAATTCAGCAGAGCAGATGTCTTGGCTAGAACGCTCTTCTGAGGGGGCACATAACAGCATACCATCTACATATGGCAAGACTGTGACTTGGGAAAAACTACAGTATTTCCTTTTATCAAATCAGGATCCTGGGACATTCTCAGCTTTTTTCCTGATAAATAGTTGACAATTTAAATTAACTGAAGGGCTTAGTTCTCATGTTTCTTAGACCTTCAAGAATACATGCCTGAAAATGTCTTCTATTTAATCTCCTATCTGATTGGCAGGCCAGTGGGGGTCTTATACAGGAACTGCTTTTGTCCCAGTAGGAATCAGTTATTCCCCTGGCTGCCTGTCTTTTGAGCTTCCAAAATTAAGATAATATTTGTCCCTACATGTCATAGCAGCTTGTAATACTACTTGTCTCTCACTAGAAATCAATATTTGATTTAAGAGCAACGTTATATCTTTCTACTCTAGTCCATAGGTCTGAATAAGTCCTCTAAAGACCTCAATGTGCATATCAGGGCAATCTGAAAACTTCTTAAATCTCATTTGATCTGTCTTAGATCACTGAGAGAAGAGACACGTGAACACAGGTAGTCCCATATGTGACATTTACTTCCTGCAAGGGATGTTGTCTTTGAGGGACCTGAAGAATTTAGCTAAGAATAGATACAGCTTCATGGAGGTTTTAATTATGGCTGGCCTAGAAACTCCACTCTCCGCACCTGGTGGTCAAGGTTTAAAGTTGTCTTGGAAACTTTGTTTTCAGGTTCTAAAGGGCGAGGAGTAGTCTCAGGCTTAGAGGTACTGAAGGTCTTAAGGGTGAGGTGTCTCTCATTTTTCTATGGCCCACATTTACATTTGAACACAAGCAAGAATTACTTCATAATGTAAAGAAAATCTCAACATAAGATGATTTTGAACATTTTCTCTCTTTTACAGTATAATTCTAATCGTGAGATAGCATCATAGTGCTTTCCTCTGTGTACTTGGCTTTAGGAGGTAGGCACATCACGCGAGGGTGTAGAGAAATACTAGATTGTTCCTTAGTACTTTCTAAAGGAGTAAGAGGTTCAGATACAGAACTCCTAATCTGAAACAAGAGAAAAAAATATGGCATTCCGTAAGTCTCTGCTTGATTCCTGTGCCCCCTAGGGTGTCCCCAGGATGTCCCCCAAGGTTTATACCACTCCAGGGTAGGTAGCTACTGTCTGGAGAGAGAACCAGAAAATAAAACTGGACTGGACTATTTACCCTTTACCAGCACACGATCTTATCTTCCTCAGGTAACTCATATCTTTATTCCAGTAGGTACTCTTAAAGTACAAGTTACAATTGACTTCAGCCATAACAATCATGTTTAGAGAAGGAAGTATTGCTAGCAAACCAAGAGATTTAAACCACTATTTTCTAGTTCCTTGAAAGAGAGAGAGGAAAATAAGTCAACAGTCAAATTAGGGCACTTTTTCTGCAAAAGAAATCAACTCCAGAGATGTTAAGTCAGAGATTCTGCCCTGGGCCCTAGGGCAGACAAAGCTCTGAGACATTTCTGTTGTCTATCCAGCCATTTAGGCAACTTTTATTAGCAGCATGACAAGCCTACTCCTTTAGGGTCCATTTTAAATTCATTCAGTATTTGAAACTCATAGGTCCTCCTAGCGGCCACAATCTACATAGTAAAGGCGCCTTTATCAACTTCCTATCCATGAACGAAGAGAAAGGCTGACGAAAATAGTCCCCTATCCTAGTTAGCATGTAAACATTTGTCTAGAGGTCTTACTGGTAGTAGAGAAAGCAGTCCAAACCTGTAGCTCAACTCCTAACAGAGGCTTAAGAAAGGGCTCTGCCAGCATCGTTTCAGGCCACTCTGAGACAGAGGATATCTGATGATCACTGACAGAGTTCCCCTTTCACCTCACTGAGGAGTCCAGATAGAAACGAGATGTGGAGATTTTCTGCTGATTACCCAGACGGGCTGTCGGGAGCTAGGTTCTTCTGCGGGACCTTTGGGTATTCGCCAGAGAGCAGCCCTGGCCACGACCCCTCAGTTGTTACCTCTGTTTCCCCTAGTTCCACAAATCCGAGATCTGTCTCCCAAAGGAACCCAATTGCCTTTCCGGTCAACATCCCACCCACCATGAGTGTTAATGGGAGTGAGGATTCACCAGAGGGAAACTGGAGAAACCCTGTCCTCTGCTTTGAGAGTGGCAGCTGCCCTAAAGGCAATTACTTGCTGGCAGAGTAACCGCTGTTTGGCATTCTATAAGGGACAGATGAAAGCCTGAGCTGTCTTTATCTGAAGTGATTTTATAAGAGACCCATTTTACAACATTTTTAAGCAACTAAGTTCAAATGGAAAGTATACAAAACCATAATAAAACATAATTTTAACAAAAGACAATGCATAAGTAAGACAAGAAATTTGCAAACATTTAAAACACACAACTTAGGGGTGGGGATTTAGCTCAGTGGTTCCACCATCTGCCTTGCAAGCACAAGGACCCAAGTTCGATCATTGGTACCAAAAAAAAAAAAACAACAAAAAAACCCAAATCTTTTGAAACAAAAGCCAAAACAAAGGTCAGAATTTATATGAAACAAAACCCAGAATCTATGAAACAAATAGCCAGAGGCTATGAAATGAAAAGTAACAATCTATGAAGCAAAAAGACCAAAGTTAGAACCTATGAAAGAGAACTCTTACCTCTGACCAGTAATCTCGGTGGAGGACCTCCAAAATGATATAGGGGGAAGAGATCTAACTCCCCAACCTACTAGACATCCGAAACGCAAGTTTGTGTTCTCTAAAATCAAAGAACGAATTCTGGGAACAATGGAGGTTAAGAGTAGGAAAAATTTATTGGGAGAAAGAAAGCTTCTGCCTAAGAGAGACAGAAGGGGGACCGGAAAGTGGGTTGCTCCACTGTAGTAATCATTTAAGCATTTACCATATATTTTGATTACACCCTGGACATCAGTATTGTAACTGAGGGGCTAACATGGTCTCTTGCTTACAGCCTACAGCCCCATGCATACAGGAGTTCCTTACCCTGCTGGCTGTGTGCCACACTGTTGTTCCCGAGAAGGATGGAGATGAGATCATCTACCAGGCCTCCTCCCCAGGTGAGGGCTCTTGGTGGATACGCCCTTCCAGCCCCTACCCCGGAGGTGAGGGTGTCTGGTGATTTGAGGGAGAGGAAGTAAACAGCGCCGTGCCCCCCCAGGGGCTGCTGGCCCCACACCATTTCCAGATTGGGCTGCAGGTGTGAAACTTGCAAGAGCTAGTTCTGGGCTCTCCTGACTTTCTTGAAGACACTTTGATGGCAGGAAGGACCCGAGCCATCTGGCATTTCCCAGCAATAGTTACTGGGTTTGGCAGAGCTTTCCAGAGAGAAAGGGTTGCATAGGCCACATGTCATGGATTTTCCAGCCACTGGGGAAACTGTGTATTGGAGCAGTTGCTCCTTGCCCACTTCTGAGTCTCTGAATCCCACAGTACTACAACTAAAACATGGCCTTGCTTGGAAGAGATGTTTAGTCAGTGTGAATACAGTATCAGGTTGATTAGAAGAACTTGACGCCACTGAAAGCAGCAGGAGTGCAGATCACTCTTCTACTGGTGATTTAGCTCTCAGCCCATATCTTCAAATCCTGTGGAAGGGCTCACTTCAGGCCCAGGTGGTAGGAAGAGCAAGGGTTCTTGCCCCTTGAGTACTTACTACTGAATGGTAACACGAGGCTTCCTTAGCCACCAGGAGTTTTAGTTTGAAAAATGGTCTTTAACAGAAGCCTGTCACAATGCAGGATTAGTGAGTGTTTCACCAACTTCTGCTTGACAGATGAAGCTGCTTTGGTGAAAGGAGCTAGGAAGCTGGGCTTTGTCTTCACAGCCAGAACACCATACTCCGTCATCATAGAAGCGGTAAGAGCCCGATCTGTGCACATTGCAGATCTCCCACTGTTTGGAAGATTGTACGTTTGAAATCGTGTGTCTGTTGTGAATGTTGTGGCCACATTTTTCTTTTCCTTTCAGTGAAAAAATAAACTCAAAATATTCAATTGTTTGATTTTATGTCATTGTATGAGCTTCTATCTATTTTGCATTGCTATAATTTCTCCCTTAAAGATGCTTCCCTACAAGTCTTCAATACACTGATGTAACATTGTGGCAAAGAGCTTTGCAAATCTTCTCCTCAAAAGTTGGGAAAATGACTACATTTCTGAGGCAGGTTCCATGTTTCTCTGTAGCTGCAGCACCCACGAGCTCGTATGCAGTGGGGCCCTCCATCCAGAGGGCTTTGTCTCTCCTTGTGAGAGATAAAGGTTAAAGCTTAAGGTCTTTTTTATTTATATTATTATGTTTCCCTACAGATGCCAAGGGGTTTCTGTGTTTTTTATTTTATTTTTTTATTTTTCCTCCCTGAGGACTAGAGGAAGAAATTTAGTGATAGGATAATTGAGTATCTATTATTCAAAATGTTTGGAACCAGAAGTGATTCAGATTTCAGTTTCTTTTTCAGACTTTGAAATATTTGCATACCCATAAAGAGATACCCTGGAATGGGCCCCAACTCTAAACATGAAATGCATTTATGTTTCGTAGATACCTTCTCCACGCATTCTGAGAGTCATTTTTATAGTAATTGTAGTGTGCCCGTGTTGTGACTGTGACTGCTCACAGGAGGTCAAGTGTGGGATTTTTCACTTGTTTTGGCATGTCAGTCCTGAAAACATTTTGGAGTTTGGATCTTCATATTAGGGATGCACAGTCTGTATCAAGAACAAAATCAAATAGAGACCCATGGGATGGGCAACAGGTGACAGTGGTGGTGAGGACTGGCACAGCACCGGTGTTACTGATGACCAGTGAAAACGGCCGTGCCACTCTGGCTCCTGAAGCCCTGCTGATGGTCACTGTCTTCCCTTGCTCTCCTTTCAATTTGGGGAAAACTGATGGATTGTTACAGTTTTTAGCTCATGCATTCCTAAATCCCTAGACCTTTTTAATGCACTTGAAGTTTACTTCTAAGTGGTATAATTGGTATTGTCCTGAGTTGACAGTAGTCAGTTTTTTCCTTTTACTTAGAAAATATCAAAACCTATACTATATCGTACCTTATACAAAGTGCCTATCTCCTGGCATCTTCAGTTTCTTTTGGAGTATGGAGACCAGACTGTGTTTATTTTTACTTTATTTCAATCAGCAGAGGGAATTTAGCTAAAGGAAATATGCAATCATTATTAGTGGAATGAAGTACTGATTGAATATAGAATTTCCTTCATAGTAACTTAAAAAAAAGTCTTTTTCTCTTTTGGGTTGAGCAGACTTTTAGCCCTGGTGGTAGGATTTTCAGGTGTGGGGTGCTCCTTGCATGTCCCTGCATTGCAGAATTGGGGTGTGGGAAGAGGGAGGGCTTTGGTAGTCTGAGCGTGAGCAGAAGAGCTGCTTGTGCTCGGTTCGCAGTGCCAGAGAAGCATGGGAGCAGAGAGCCTATGACATGTTGTCACAGTGTTAGATGCTGGACTGGCTCCCCTTTGCTATTTTAAAGTCTTATGTCCTATTTCTGGGAGTAAAAAAGATGGCCTGATTAGTTGGGTCTCACAAATAATAAATAAAAAATTCTATTCGACCTAATTCTGGGATACAATTGATCCATAAATTCTCCAGTTGATCACCAGCCACTTCCACAGAGGGCCCTTGCTGATCACTGTGACCGCTGACAAACGTGCTGCGTGTGTGTGAGACTGGTGTGACAGTGGGGCAGAGAGGAGGTGGCTGGTGGCAGTGAGCAGGGAGGGCTTTTCTGAACAGGAACTGACAGAGTTGGGACGGTCTGGGGAAGCAGGGACCTGGGACATTCAGAGGTGAATGAAAGACTGACACAACTCTGTTAAATGGACTATTAGGAGTGCTTTAGGGTCAGTGAGATGGGGTGCAGCACTGTGGTGGGAAGATGTTTATTGGTTCAGTCATGGACTTGATAATTTTTTTGTTATTTCATTGATTACTTATGTTAAGCCTAAGAGATTACTGTTGTCACCATTCATAACAAAGTCATCAGCTAGGACTGGGGATTTAGCTCAGTGGCACAATGCCTACCTTGGAAGCACAAGGTCCTGAGTTTGATCCCTGGTACCAAAAAAAAAGAAAGAAAGAAAAAAGTCATTTACTTAGTAGCAGGAACCAGATTCAAACTGATTATGATGTGTTATGAAATTTAAAAATTTGAAAATGGTATGCACACAATCTAAAACTTGTTTCAGATGGAAAAATTGTGAATACTGATGTTCTAACCTGAGAGAATCCAAAGAAAGAGGGCATTTAATTTGTTAATTGCCCTAAGACCAGATGCGTATTCATAATCCCTTATCTGCAACTCTAAATCACCAAGTCTTTGAATTCCAAGTTTTTTCTCTAAGTCTGAGGAACAGTCATTTGGCATTAAAACCTAATAAGAACTCACATGAGCCTATTTATGATCATTATGACTCTTATTCAGTTTAATAGTCTTATGTTTTCTGGCAGAAAATTGAGCGCTCTCATCCTTCTGGGGACATATGCTAATAAGATATATGCATAGACTTTTATAAAAATGTATAAAATCCTGGATTCATTAGCATCACTGGCCCCCCGGTTTCTGAGGGTGCTGGGTCTTTTAGCGTCATCACTTTGTGGCTGTCCCAGCCAAATGTTGAGCCATAAAGGTAACTGAAGAAAAAGAAACTTCTGCTGTACCAGAAGAGGGCGCTGTGATCCCACCAGATTGTTCGAAAACTACTCTGGGTGAAGAGGTAGTTACAAGAGGCTAGAGGGTGGGAAGAGAGTGTTTATGATTGAGGGCAGATGTGATTTTACTGTTTTGCACCTCAGGTAAAAGCCTTTTTTTTTTTTTTTTTACTGCAGATGGGACAGGAACAGACATTTGGAATCCTTAATGTCTTGGAATTTTCCAGGTATGTTTTTCTTTCATACACTTAAAATTTTAACAACTCCGTCTGCATATTTGCATGACTGTTTGATATAATTAGTGCAAAAGCATTAAATATGGTAAATATACCTCCATCAACCCCTTTCTCCTGGGAATTTGTGACTTCAATGAAAGAAAGTGAAGTCGGTGAATTCTCTTTATTTTTTTCCAAAGGGTTACATATACTTCCACGTCCTCCCTTCCCCTTAGCACTCCAGGGCCTGGTGATCTTGCATAATCAGGGAGGGACAGGCACATCGACATGGATGGAGTGTGTGAGTGTTTCCATCCTCGTTGAGCAGATCCCTTGAGATCATGCCTCCTGCCACCTGAGAACTTCTGTGGGCCTGCAAAACAGACAAATGATGACAACTCCCATCAGTTTGTCCCATCAGAGACCTTGTCCATGTAGGGTGGTTCTCTTGGACATATTCCAGAGCATTCTACTCAGCTCAGTTTTTTTTAAGACCTAGAAATATCTGTTGGATTCTTTTTAAAAAAATTTCAATATTATTAACTATATCATCTTTTTTAAAAAAAATTAATTTTATTGGTACATTTTAGGTGTACAATATAATGACATTCATCATTGGAAATTTGCACCTTTACACAATCTCTCTTGGTTCTTATTTTTTCCCCATTCCCCTTTCCTCCCTTCAACCCCTCCATCCCTGATGCAAAGACTTTGTTTCCATTTTTCTCATTTTCTCATACTAATCCCATTCCCTTCTTCCCTTTCTCCTACCCATCCCACTTCCCCTTCCCCTTTGCCATTTTTCTTCCTATTTCACATTATATATTATACCTTTTGGTCCTTATTTACACTTTCAGTTTCTCACATTAGAGAAACTATTCAGTATTTACACGTGTGTCCTATTTATTTCACTTAAGAGTATTGCCTCAATGTGCATCCACTGAGCTATAAATGTCTCTAATTTCTCATTTTTTATGGCTGAGTAGTACTCCATTTTATAAAAAAACCCCACATTTTCTTGATCCAGTCTCCAGTTG